GAGGGGGGGGGGAATAACGAGGCGCGTCAATTCATGGGATTCGATGCATTCAGGATGGACATCCAATCTCTATTAATTTTAACCATTGTCTTTGGTCAATTAATTTTCGTAAATATGCGTTTTTTAGTTTCCACAGCGACTCTGATTGGACTATGCATTGGGATAGCCTTCTTAATATGCATGGCAGCGACGACGTGGTGGCTCTGCCGACGACGAAGAGAGCACACGAAATTGAATTCGGACAAGTCATTGGCATTCCGACCGCCACACCGAAAACCGACGGCGGTCAAGAGTCCCGGGAGCACCAGTCATTATCTGAAGAAGAGTCCCAGTCCTACGGGGCCGGCAAAGAGTCCTCCTGGATCGGGAGGCCAGACGCCTAGTCCCACGGGCTCGCAACCGTCTCAACATTCGAACAATCTGACTGTTTCTCGTCCGCGTACACCGCAAGGAGGAGGTACGACGACGCCCGTGCAGACGCCGCCCGGCGACGTAGCTCTGAGCATAGAGAACGAGCGCGACAAGGCGGAAATCGAAAAGAGCGAGAAGGTCGACCGCGGAAGGTATAACCCCGACAGCAATAAAGATGGTCTCGGGCAACTGTTCTTCAAGCTGCGCTATCGAAGCGAACAGAATGCAGTGGTGGTAACGGTCGTCAAGTGCACGGGATTGCCCGCGCGAGGACAGCAGCACGCCACGAGCGACCCTTATCTGAAATTACAGCTACTGCCGGACAAGCAGCATCGCGTTAAGACCAGAGTACTCAGAAATACGAGGGATCCGGTCTACGACGAAGACTTTACGTTCTTCGGGATATCACAGAGTCAGCTGCAGGTAAGTCGAAGCCTCAAACATACGAGTCCGTATTCAGAACTCGCTATTAAAGTCACACTACAGAGTCACACTAAGAGTGGTTAAAAGTCACTAAAAATAATTTAAAAGCGACCTACTAGCACTAGAATGTGAATGTTCTGAATACGGGCTATAAACACCAACTACGAGTACACTATTCTAACTCGGGCACCTATACATGCAGAATGCGCGTCCATCCTCGGCTAGTCTGTTCAGCATAGGTTGATACAGTATCTGTATACAATGTTGTGACGTGATTTTTCGAATCACGGTCCCAAGGCGGCTCCGGTTACCGATACAGATAACGTTCTCGATTTCTGGTTCCCTTCGGTTCGCCACCCTGCTCAGAAGCTACGCTCTCGGGTTGATTCGTATAGTTACGTCAAGTCTCTCGTTAGATTTCGTTATTGCTTAGTTGAGGTCGAGGTGCTCGAATCTGCCGTGGGGAGATAGTCTCGACGCACCGAGTTGCCCGGCAGAGGAGAGTACCCGACGGAGACATCTCCACGGATCGGCAGAAGCCCGGGCTGGGAAAAGGGCTGTAGAGGGGGCGGAGGTAATTTTGATACGGTTAAGGGCAGGAGAGGAACCTCCTGCCCGAGTTAAGGACGTGGTGCCCAGCTGTCGCCCGATGCCCTGGGGAAGCGGCCGTGGAGGATCTCTAGAAGTTACGTACCGATTCGTTAAGGAACGCTCTCGATTTAGTTTAAAAGGACGACTCGAAGGAGATAGAAGAGTTATCGGTTATAAGTCTCTCGACCAATCAGAATGATTAGTTCTCGGATTTGGCTATTGTCAAAGCAGTCTGTCTCGGGACACCGACCGAGGTGCCACGGGCTGGCTCGCGCTCCCGTGCTATCTGTTGATAGTTTTTCTTGCCGTGTTTCGCTACGGTATAGCAAGTTCTCGACTCGTACAGTTCTCGCGTTGTTCTCGCGATATCCAGGAATTCTATGAATTCCTGTGAGTGTTCGTTTGCTGATTTTACCCGACCCCAAAGATCAGCACCTACGGTTGCGTTTCTCGATTTTACGCGTCCCCAAAAATCGACAGGTCTGATAGGTTCCGTTAGAGTTCTCGTTTTGGCGGAGTTGGGCCTGTCCGTCCTGAGAGTTCCACCCCAACTCCCAGCTTATATCGGTTCGTCAGTTCCCGGTGAAAAAAAGAATTGGCTGGCGCCCGCGTGGCTTGCGGATGCCCAAACGACGATAGATCGACGATAGACTCGAAGATAGTTCGTTCTCGTATGTTTTGCTATCGGTGTCGGGTCATAAGTTAAAGAATTACGTTACAATGTATACATACACTGTATGTATAATCACATAATGAGCAATTGAGACACTCCTTGCAGAAAACAACTCTCCACTTTGTCGTCTTGAGCTTCGACAGATACTCCCGAGACGACATGATCGGCGAAGTCGTGTGTCCGCTCTCTTCGGTCGTCGGTCTCGAAGAAGCAGACAATCAGCAGATCTCCCTGTGCCGTGAAATTTGTCCAAGGAGTCTTAAGGCGAGTACCTGCACGCACGTTGTTCGCGGTGATGTCTGACCTGCTTGTCGTAATAATGGATTTCACGAACTTGCACGTTTTTAGATCCAATCGCAAGGACGAGGCGAGTTGCTCGTCTCTCTTTGCTGGCAACCGGCAGCCAGTCGTTTGACCGTGGTCGTCCTGAAGGCCCGCAACTTACCGAAAATGGACGTAACGGGCTTGGCGGATCCTTACGTTAAGATATACCTTCTTTACAATAATCAGCGAATCGCTAAGAAGAAGACTCACGTTAAGAAGCGCACTCTCAGCCCAGTATTCAATGAATCCTTCATATTCGATATACCGAATGGTACCGATGGTCTCGGTAATATCAGTCTCGAGTTCATGCTGCTCGACTGGGATCGCGTTACGAAAAACGAGGCTAGTAGTCGTGCTATCAATATTTTTTTGCCTTTACTCCGTACCTCCGAGATACCACGAATTACAACGACACTTAATAATTCACAGGTGATTGGACGGCTGGAGCTTGGTGGTTCAAAGAGCCAAGGATCTGCATTGAATCATTGGAACGAAGTGTGTAGCTCGCCGCGACGACAAATTGCTGATTGGCACAAATTGAGGGAGTAAAAGCAGCACCCGTGCTCGTACTTTTCTTATAAACTTTCAAAGATTCCCCAAGTTTCTCGGTAATCTGCTAGTCTTATTATTTTTCCACCAAAAATTCTCCCATCGTTTTTCAGACTCTTTCGTACTCGAGTGCGTGCAAAGCACACGATAATCATAAAATTAAATTATTTCTTTTTCTTTTTTTTTTTTTTTTGTTTAAACCAGTATACCAGTAATATATGATATTCGATGCTGCGAGGATCTTACCGCGGGAAGAAACATTGAAACGAGTGCAGCGGAAGACACATTAAGGAGGAAAGGTCGTCGTCGTCGTCGTCGTCGCGTTGCCTCGGACCTATCGTCATTCGGTCAGTATGGCCGACAGTAATCTGCTGTGTGACAGTCCTGCCCAATAGTGGTGCACTTTCATCACCTTCAGGAGAGTACCATATCCTGGGGGCCATCAGTCTCTAACGTGCATGTAAGCCTATGTATGAGCCAATTAAGGGGTAACACACCAATTGGAATTAACACGTCTGTTTGGCATCTACGACGAAAACAGTTGCAGCTGTAGCGTAGGTCCTGAATGACTTCTCGGCGATGGCCGACAGGCGACTCGCGGTATACGAGGCAAGTGCGGCTACAGGAGCTTCGAGTCTCCACGAGAGTTTTAGGAGTTTGGAATAACGCAGGACGAACAAAAATGATAATGCGAGAATACGATAGATTAACAATCGTAAGCGCGTAAAACAATTTTACTATTTCCGATATAAAAAGTTTCGAAAAGCCTAGTTGCGCCGCATTATTCTGGGTTGAGAAGTGTAAAATGTTTTTACTCCATATCCTTTTGTCTTTAATTCTTATGTATACAATTGTGGTGGAAAAAGATGGAAAAAAGTTGTCGCGTTTAGCTCTTCGTCTCGATTGTATATATAATTAATTGATCCATTGCAAAACGAGGAGCAGTTAGCGTACTTAACGTATTGGTCACTGAACTGAAGCGAAATCACTCGTGGTGAATTTGTAGTCGAATTGAAGTTTTTCTCAAGTACGTCACACGTTACGGAACGTGGTTTTTCCATTAGGTTCCATTAGTACGAAACATGAATGACAAAGGAAAATAAAAAAAAAAAATAAAAAGATATAGAATCACTGCACCGACTCAATGATCGATCGATATTATATAATGATAAAGGAATATCTGGATATTGATTTAAAATGCTATACGATACATAAGCGATAACGACATGACCCTAGTCCGTATACCTATAGTATCGTAGTTATATTGTATGCTTCGTCTGTCGTTTACATCGAAAACTGGTGCTCGAGATGACGACGGGTTGGATGAGAGTCGAACGGCGTCTGATATCCCAAGAAAATCGCGGGATACGATGATTCGTCTTTCGCGTTGCTCGTCTTCGCCACGTTTCGTGTGAAAACAAGAAAATCGTTGTAAAATATACATATATGTAACGGGTGTTACGCGCTAAATAAGGCGCCTTTAATTCAGCGTTCGCGCGAGCCACGAATTCATCGACATCGATCTTTCGTGGCTGTTAAGTGGATAATGAATTTTTGACATTCTCTCGCAATTCGCATACGGGATGGTGTAAGGCATGCTACGTCGTCGTGCTATGTGTATGGGCAGATTTTAAGGCTGTGCGGTTAATAAACTGATATCCAACAATGGAAAGATTGCTATTCTTTTGTTTCGACATTTCCCCGACTTTTGTCAATAAATAAGCAGGACAATTGAAATAGGGTAATAACTAATGAGCAGACTATAGGTATTTCGCCGCAAGTAGAAAAATAGTTTATTTGCTTGTACGGAGTTTTACCTTTGTGCGTTGTCGTAAACGAAAAGACAAATGCATGAAACGGAATGCGCACATCTACTTATATGGACTTTCGAAATAAAGATCTTACATAGATGAATTACTATTGCACACCTTGCTGCGGTTGATCGACCGGACGAGCTGTACGGTAATAAACAGCGCATCAGAGACGATCAATGTACCCAAACATTATTTTAAGTTAAGAATAAGTTAAAATAACGCAACTGATACAAATTACTTATACGAACTCTCACGCAGGGCGTTCTTGAATCTGTCCAATGATCGAGGTACCATGGTGTCTTCATAATTATTACTTAAAATTGATACGATCCGCACACACAGTGCGCCGTACCGAGCTTCATATAGTCACGTAACTCGAGGAATGAGACTAAATATAAAAGATCCTGCAGCTTGGGTCATCATATCCTTAATGCGAGGTACATCAGCAAAGGGAGTGCCAGGTTGTCTATTTGATCGGTTCGTGCTTCAACGATCGATATTCCGATTATCGACAGAGTGGCTTTCACCAGTGTCACAAACCCTTCCACGTATCCTAAGGGAAATATGAAAGAAATACATACATATATACAGAGCTATAGCATCATAGGTATACGTGCGTGCGTGTGTGTCTAAACAGTTGTAATGTCGATAGAGGAAATGATCCGTGAGGAATGTCATTCCAGCGGATAGTGCCTACCGAAATATCCGAGGCAATAGACGACCGTTAATTGGATGAGAATGCAAGCGAGCGTTCCCTCGATAGACTTTTCGCAGGAAGACCATTTGTGTTTTCCCCAATTGCTTCCAACGAAACTGGCAGCAGTGTCCCCTAGACCAACTGTCAAGACCCCGCTGAGAAGCGACAACAAGTCGAGGTTACTCGCTGGCATCCATAAGGGAAAGGACAAACCGCAAAGAAGGTAGAGAGGCGTTAACGAGACAAGCGAATCCTTATTGTCGGCAAAAACGGAAAATCCTTTTTGAAGCAGGTCACCCAGTGGCGGTTGGCCCAATATCCTAATTATCTGGAAGATAATCCGCTCATACCGATCGCGTCCAATTTCAGCCAATTGAAATGACACGTCTCCGTCTGAATAATGTCGTTCGTACCTCAAGCATCAGGAACAGGCACATTATTGTCCCGCTTGCCAGATAAAGCAACGATGGATCATATATCATTCCTGGAATGTATACCAACACTGCCAGCACGTGAAAATGTTTTCTAATGGCAGTCGAAGCCTGGGAATTCAAAAGTATTTGGCGTGCGATCGCTCCAATGGCAAATGCAACGCATACCATCCAGTACGATATTAGAATGATCTAGAAGCAATTATTTACATGTGTGTCCATCATTTGATTATTGCAAGGGATGCAGTTGAGCTGAATTTTTGATTGCCGGAACTCACTCTCTTAAAATCGCTAAAAATAAAAAATATTATCCAATGCAATGGGCTCTGATCTAGTAGAATATGCAGTAGAGGTATTACTGCTAATAGCAGTACTCCCAACGCTGTTGCATAAAAGTTTCGTCCCACGCGTAAGTGTGGAAAGAATGTGCATAATATGCAAATTGATGCAACGTACAGAATACCCACCTAAAGGAAGGAATGTCTCATTAAGTTCACAAGATATAATAAATCTATGTATACGGCGTACAACTTACTTGCAGTATCACGGTGATAATGTTGTCCTCACGAATCGGAGGCAAATGATATCTATAGGGAAGATTGGCAGCGGTGGACAGTAGAAATAAAATGATACCATGCACAACAGCCGACGCTTCACCGATCGTGAAACAATGAGGAAAGCAGGCCATGGATTGTAAGACTCCCCATGTACCAAGAATTCCTACACCCAAACCCCATGCCACACTCACCAGTAGTCCTGTATTCAAACAACTCACTTGTATTACAATGTAACTTTTATAAATGTTGAGAAAGGTGGCGACGGCGGCAGGAGGGAAAACTATTTTGCAAATCTTAATTGCTACATAATATCAACTGTAAATTCAATCAAATCCGCAAATATACCTTTGTTCCCAAGAAGCAGATACAGGATGGACGTTATCATAGCTGGTAGAAAGTATACAAGTTGAAAGTCTTTTACAACAACTTTTTTCATTGCCAACCGGCCATAGAGACACACGCAAGCCACTGCAAGGCCTATTCCTGTGATTCCTGTTAATAAGCATATTTCAGAGTAGCCTGCACCAACACTTTCGTTAAGAATGGTCGCTGTGGCACTCAACCCTGTTAAAGGACCCAACCATAAGCCAGAGCTAGCTCCTGTCCTGCATAATAATAAAAAGAGTACAAAGGAATCAATAAATACTGTACGTAAATGTATGCAAAAGTACACGTGCGAGATTTAACTAGGTTAGGACGTTCTTCATCTTCGACTCCAAGGAAGCTCGCACAACTTACCGGTGCTGTATACCGCTACTAGCAAGACTGCGCAGAATGCGTTTTTCGATATCCTTGTAACGTGCAACGATATAGTCCGTCATTTTTTCAAACTTGTCACTCAGCATCGTCACACGCGAGTTGAGCGTAACCACGCAAAGCACTTTGCTCTGACGCACCCTATTCAGGGAAATGGACGTGTATGTCACTTTTGAAGCACGGCTCACGGCGGACTTATTGTTACTTTTTCATAAGTAAAAACACGATAGTAGACACATTCGTGTCCAAACCAAATATGATAACTCCATTCATCGTTCCACATTATGAAGGATACAATTTGTCATTTGGCTAAGGATGAATCTACAGGAAAACACGGATTCGATGAATTCTCTACTTATTCCGAATGAAATACCATTTGTTTCTCTTTATTTTTATTCGATACACACGTAGAAAGCGATATGCTCCAAAGAGATCGCCGAATGCATCTTTGCAAGCAAATCTCAAAGGATTAGACATTGGCTACAGACGCTATTACGATGTGACTGGTAAACTTTGGGATACTCGCTACGGGTGACGCTTTACCGTTTGCTCGTCACATTCCTCGTCACTGTTTACCTCTATGCTACAGAGGAACGAATCATTTTCAATTACGGGAAAGTAGTATCTGTAACGAATAGATTAGAGCAGCGAATGAAAGTACAAACGACAGCGATAGCGTAAACTTACTCCGGTTGATCCCATATACGTTTTTCTGGCAACTTAAAGTGTTGCGCTTCTCGCATGTGCTTCAAGATATTATCCGCCGATGTCGCATCGCAGAATATACAGTGTCCTGTGTGAATTTGCCTTCTGACGTAGTTTACTATTTTTACCTGAATGCCATATCAGCGATAGTACGCGTATGTTATAATTAATCGCTGTTGGGAATCTTAAATTCGGATATTTGATAATACATACTCTTTGATAAAAATTCAGAGTACGCGTGAGATCCTCGAAATCGAAAGCGTGCACATGTTTCATGTGCTGTATAACGGATGCGAAATGCTTATCCAAGTAATCGCAGAATAAACAGTTAACATCAGAAATTTCATCGTTCCAATCGGACCACGTATTTTCTTCGTTATCACTGTTGTCACTGCTGATAGTGGACAGATTGTTCGTTCCCGTCGAATCGCCAGCCGCCTTATGTTCCCGAAACAGAAAGGAAAGAACGTGAAACATTGCTCATCGGACGCGACTATGCGCGTTACTACGTTGCGTCTATACCTGTTTCAAATAATTGCTCATGTAAAATCTATCGTAGCTCTCATCGTTACGATTAATCCTTTTATGCAGTTTCTTACGCATATGCTCCTTCAGCACCGTGCGATCTTTAAAAACTTTCCTACAGTATACGCAGATTAAGCTGTAAACCATAGATGATAAAGCAAAACGGTTATGCTGAAGCGTATCCTGTAAAGATTACAGGTGTAAAGATACTACACACTTTTCAATATTATTTTCTATCCTGTCGAGCAACTGATCCACAAAGACTAGATTTTCTGGCTTTCCTAATCGAATGTTATGTTGTTGCGAAAGATGTTTTAAATAGGTTGCTCTGGATCCAGAGAATATCAATCTACAAAACATACAGCCACGTTTGAAATTCATATCTGCTCTTTCTTTGGTTTGTTGAGCCAAAACCCATTCCTGAAATAGATAATTATATCATAACTTTTGTCAATGGTTTAAATAAGTTACATTGGTCGATTACATTTAAACTGACCAGTTTTGCTCTTTGTAATTCCATCCTGAGTGCCTTATCTTCTGGTAGACAATCCGATAGTAAAAAGTAACATTCGTTCTTACTTGGTTTCCCATCAGGAGTGCAGTCCATCGATAGCGTACTGCAGAAAGTATTTAATGATGCTTCAGAAAATTTGACCCCCCAATACTTTAGGTAACTGAAAATGAAAACCAGTGGTTTCAGTCAAGTTCATCCAGCATACGAGTGGCTCCTAAAGAAGGTTGAGTGCAGCGTACCATTTCAAACTGGGTATTCGTTGAACATCACCTATGATTAGCCTGTGTTCTTCAAAGAGATGTGACAAAAACGTTTTTTCATTTGTGGGAAGAGTGTAAATTTTTGTACATAGCAGGCATCTCATAGCACAAGGCTCGTCGTCCAACTGATCAAACGGTGTGTAGTATTCGATTGCTTGCAGGTGGCTGCTCTTTGTTTTTTCTGCTACAAATCCACAAGCATATATTTCAATTATACGATTGTACAATGACCAATATAAGTTTAACGAACTCTTCGCGACAATGACCGGACGGGTGGTACGACTAAAGAAAAATCATATGTTTGATTAACAAAAACACTGACATTGAACAATTTTTAACAACGAAAAGCCTACTTTTCCTAGTTATCTTACCAGCACAACTAGTTCGATAAAGCTGCGAACGCTCTCTAATAGTTAAATAGATGTATACATAATTTCACTGATCTGTCAGTAAGCAAAATAGAAAATAATGGTTTAAAAGAAAAATACCTCCAGTAGACATTTAGAATGCGGTAAGAGTTTGATACTGGATTTTTATAGAAAAATAATAATTATATGTATAAGTTTCTTTTGTTAGCGGCTTTCACCATTGCAGTGAAATGATCTGGCAGCGCTCATTCGATTGCGTTTTCTCGTTCTTCATTACCACGTTTACACGGCGGTCTTAAATCGGTTTAATTAATACCGATCTAAACGAATAGATAAAATCATAGACATTTCAATTTCTAAGGAATATTTGGGATTGGTTAATTCTTTTCGATCGGTATTAAATAATCCGGTTTAAGCACTGAACTATAACCATACTGGAATCCGTGACCACAGACCACTTATTGGAGCCACGGCAGACGGCACTCTCGTGCTTTCTCGTGTTAGCACGAGCAGCAACGCCATCTGATCGATGGGTTATATCACTAACGCAATATATATAGATATACAAGTGTATATATGTATACTCACCGTTCTATACTGATCGCCCTAAAAGTTTTTTAAGGCATTTTTAAAAGCACCTGCAACTATGAAAAACAAGTATGACCCTCGTAAACATCCTAAAACGTTAATATGTGGTGCAAAATAAAATATACACAATTAATATGGTCAAACGATTGGGTCTGATGTTTATCATAATTGCAAGCATCTGACAAGGAGAGGGCCAGGTAGCCGAGTCAGATTTTTTTTTTCATTTTTATGGTATGTAGAGATCCCCAATAACACACGAGCAAAGTCATTTCGTTAGATGATCGGCTATTTTCGACAAAATCGATTTTGAAAATATTTAAGTACTATATATCCATTAGATGTAGACAATTAAATCATTGAATGCATGGCTTAGTGGGCAGCGCTTCAGCTCAGTAAGCGCGAGGTTGCTGGTTCGGGTTTCGCTAAATGCGTATTATTATTTTTTTTTTTTCCTTTTCATCCTACGTTTATTGTAGGTGAAAACATTTGTAATGAATCACAATTTGGCTGCAAAATAAAAAAGATTGGGTTAGAAATTTTTATTTTTCCAAGTTAAAGAGAAAATGAAATGGTAAAGTACTGTCTAGCAATAATGCTTCATTGTTAGTAACTACCTGTGGGGCTGTTACTATCGAAGGAATTCGCTCCATCGTAATTCATCAGCTGACCGCCCCAGTGTTCGATAACATGCTCCAATACGCGTGATATGCTTCGAAACTGTGCGACAATAGAAACATTTTCGGAAACGTAAATTAGGTTTGTTTTCCGATAGACATTTCAAAAATACCTTGTAGCTGCAAAAGTTCAGCGTTCGTGCAGTGTGCAAGATGCCGCAAAACCTTTTGCTTCCCATGATTTTACGACGAGTACCATCCAGGCTCTTGTGAAACTCCAGCACAAACATCGGAAGGTGCAGTTACCGATGTAAAAGTATAATAATATCACATTATTGTTAAACAGTACTTTATCATTTATTTTTCTCTTTAGCTTGAAAAAATAAAAAAACTATTTATTTCAGTGACAGCCTCTTCTATGGACCATTCTGAGTTTCTGCGTTAACAGATTTTTAAAAATTTCAACGAGAAAGCCGTAGATCCAACCGTTTGCGAGATACAGCCCGCCGAAGGTGAAATTTCGCGTATTCTCAGAATCCAAGACCCGATATTCCCTGTACGTGGCCCCATGACAATTAATCCGTATGTGTGCAAGAGAGACGCACTAAGCGCCCTGCTGTGCTAATGAAACATACGCTTTAGGAGCATTACAGGGAGCGTCAACGATATCCTGAAATGCGAACAATTGCCGTGCACCGATCAGCCTGCATCGTCACTCGAGAGCATCATTGACGAACCCTGTACGAGTTGTAATTGACAAACCTGTCGTAGGAGGGCCGCACTTATGCCAAGGTTTGCTGGGGCGGGGTGGGGGTACTCAGCGGTATACAAAGAATGTATTATTGGTGCAGAGGTCAGTCTTTCGAGAGCCGTTCTCTTGGAAGCCGCGTTTTGCCGGTCTTCCTTCCCCCTTCCCCTCTCCCCGCAAACACCTTATCACAGTTGTGATACATTCATCGATTCTTTGTCTCTTTTGTTCATCTACATTCTAAGGTAGTACTTGATTATCTAATTCTATCTCTCTCTTTCTCTCTCTCTCTCTCTCTTTCTTTGTGTTACACATTTTCCCAATTTCTTCCGCTGGGCTATACGTTCTTCGTGATATCACTTTGGTATCGCAGTAAACTCCGCAGCAAATATGCCAAGACGGTTTGAGCGGTGGGGAGTCATGGGTTGGCGTCGGCATCCCTTTCTGCGCTCTCTAGGGGAGCGGTCACGTCAATCTGCGTTCGCTTGTGCTACTCCACTTGGCGTATGGGACCTCAAATCCCGGTAACTTCTAATCACCCTCTGCAGGAAACACTTTGCGCGCTGATCTAGGGTTAACGTGGTTCGTCTTCGGAGATCGAACGTGGTTCCTTACGTCTAACCTGCCCTAGCTTCGGCTTTGCGGCGGGCAGTGACGAAGGTTGAAGCGTAAATTCAAGTCCCCTCGGGGACTTCCGGCCTCGGTCGGTGCTGATGCCCAGTGATTCGTTGCGGTCGACTCGGCTAGGGGTGATCGCGAATTTTCATAGCCTGGCTCCTTTTCCCGTGTTCTGGTTCTGCGACACAAGCAACTGCTTAGTCCAGGCCATTCACATATGCTCATGTTGTTCAAAGTCTTGTACTCATGTTTGTCAATGCTTTGTGTCCGCGACCAAAGTCTGTCGAAGGTCGGAAGCCGCTTCGCGGCCCTTTAAGCTCTTGCGTCACAGCAGTCCGCTGTTACTTCGGTATCTGTTAGCCGGGCCTCCGTTGTCCGTAGGGGTTGGGCCCGATAGCGTGTATTTCGCACCCTAGCCTGCTTAATCCGGTCCATCGCGCTTGTCCCCGGTCAAGTGTCATGTCTGTAACAACCATGCCCTATCAGTATCATCAAAATCATCTCTTTTAATCTCTTCGGGCCTTCAGCCCATTTCGTGCCATCTCTTTCTACACTCTTTATCCTTTACCTTCATTTACGAAAAAAAGTGTGACGCAGTGAATTGATACGTTTGAATAAGTGCGTCGCGAATACACCTCTTTCTGCCTGTGTTTCGCTACGGTATAGAAAGTTCTCGCTCGTGTAGTTCTCGCGTTTCTTTCGCGATATCCAGGAAATTCTATGGATTTCTCGTGCGTGTTCCGGACGTGTAGTGCTGTGACCTAGTGAAGTGCTGTGACCTAGTGAAGTGCCCACCCGAGTGTCGTCTGGATACGGTTCTCGGCCTTCTTGGATTAGCTGCACCAGCTGTGGTGAGTACTGCCAATTTATTAATTATATAAGAACAATGTCAAAAGTCAAAGATAGGGCCACGTACAAGGAATCCCCGTTCTTGGATTCTGAAAATACGCGAAACTTCACCTTCGGCGGGCTGTATCGCGCAAACGGTTGGATCTACGGTTTTCTCGTTGAAATTTTTAAGGATCCCGTAGCGCAGAAACTCAGAATGGTCCATAGAAGAGGCTGGCACAGTTAGAATTGCCATAGGGCCACGCAGAACTATTGTTAAAACCTATCAACAATTTATATTTATTGAAAACACCATGAGAGTCAGTAATAATTACTGCATTGTAGTTCTATCCTATCCTAACCTATCTTAATCTATCCTAACCTAGTAAAGCCATATACAAGCGCAGCGCAGTATTGGCCTGTGTGTGATCGCACTCGCTCGTTTTTAATCTTGGTTTCGGTGAAGTGTCCTTCTCGAGGAAATATCTTCTTTAGATAAGTGTCTGTCAAGGAAGTATCTTTGGAACAAGTATCCCAGTACATGAAACTTCTCTATATTCAGTTTTCCACATTAAAAAAAAAGCATATTTTTAATAACTTTCTGTCTGTTAGTCTAAAGTGTTTGGCAGAAACATAGTTATGACTCATAATCGGACAGGAGAAGGACGACACGCATTTGATAACTTTCTTTATATAACAAAAACAATTGAAACTAATAACTGTTCATGTTCTTGACTTATTTAATTAATACAAAAATATATTTCTTCTATTTGTATTTTCAGTTTTTACATTTCCTTTCTTTGAATCCATTAATAATTATTTCGTCTCTGAAAAACTAAAACATTGATGTGCTTTTGAGTTGAATGTTAATACTTATAATTTCTCTTTTAATTTTCAAAAATGTGTTTCTTTTATTCTGTACTATTTTCATTTTTGACATTTTTTTTTCTCTGAACCTATTGAAAAACTATTTTCTGCTCGAAAAACTAAAATATTTATGTAACTTGGAAATTGAACTTGTTAGCTTATAGTAACTTAAACTTTTTTTTGTTAATATCACACTTGCATTTCCAGGTTTAAAGTAATTCCTTTTAGGTAATCCTCTAAAGTGTAGGAACAATACTCTGACACAATTCTTTTAATATTCGCGCAAACATCTTATATATTTTTTTATTCGTAGCTGATTTCTGACCCCCCATTAACTGGCTCAATTTGATTGATGAAAGATTTTCTTCCTTTTTAAAAGCATCAATGAATTTCCATATATTGGCATGAACCGCTGAAATTATAGATGAAAAGGCCCTGTGCCAGCCTTCAACTGAATTATTCTCTAAAGTGTAGGAACAATACTCTGACACAATTCTTTTAATATTCGCGCAAACATCTTATATATTTTTTTATTCGTAGCTGATTTCTGACCCCCCATTAACTGGCTCAATTTGATTGATGAAAGATTTTCTTCCTTTTTAAAAGCATCAATGAATTTCCATATATTTGCATGAACCGCTGAAATCATAGATGAAAAGGCCCTGTGCCAGCCTTAAACTGAATTATTCGTCCCGGGAAGATCATTTAACGTTGCCTCATACTGATTCCAGTGTTCAAGCTTG